TGAAGGAACGACATATCCATCCTGTCTAAGATGGTAGGCGGTCACCTAGACGTGGCTGTCGAAGAGATCCGAGTAGAAGCCTAGATGACCTTCACTCCTTTCGAAATGCAGTCACTCTTTCGGGACGACGGAGACAGCCACCTTGGTCTTGTGGTTGACGAAGAGGAACCGGAGACCATCGCTCGGAAAACACATTAGGCGTTTTGGGTTGTTGCTATAGTTCCGAAAATGAGTGGAAAGAGAAAGTGTTTTTTCCGTTATCCGTCACTCGCGCTCCTAGAGCTGTGTAAGTTTTCAATTGCGGTGAGGTCGGGAAGGAGATGGATTTGCTCTTTATAGTCCACGATCGACTTCCTTGCAAACTTGGCATGATATATGATAACGAAAAATCTTCTTTAAGCCTCTTAAGATTGAACAGTTTATTTGGCCAACTTTTCGGCTGCTTCGCCTTCGTCAGGGCCTGAAATAATGCAAAGCATATGTGTGGCATGCTCGCCCAAAAGCCTCAACAAAACTCCAAGAAAACTTCAAGTAGACCAGCGAACCACTCAAAGACATTGATCGAATGGAGGCTTGGATTGCTCACCTTGGAGTCCGCCGCTAAGACAGGACGACACCTCGTACTAATGTTGTTTGAAGTAACCAGTAGACCCTCCCACTGACCTCATCGTAGATCAAAGGTTGCAGAGGTTAAGGAAGGGTGCGAGTTCACAGGTTATGGCTGCACACTCCTCCTTTCTGTTCATAAAGGGGTCTTTAGAGGTAATCCAAAGCGCTTCCAGGGACTTGCGCGCCACGATCTCGGGTTCAAGCGCCAATATGGACACGGAAACGTCAAGGATAGACCTAAGTGGAATAAAACCCGGTGGGCTCCTAGTGGGGTATGCATCCTTGATCCAGCCAGCCCACTCAGATGTTCTTTAACCCGAACGCACAAAGGGCGACCTGTTTCTTCTATGTACTCGCATCCACAGCTTTTGGTGGTGATTTTGATAGGTCAGTGAAGGGACTTTCTGCTGGGACTATCAGGTTACATGGTGATCGGTTTGATTTTTCTTACATACCCGGGTAGGAGGGTGCCATATGTTTGTTCGAAACTAGAACAAAACACGCTAAATAATTGGCGTTCATAATCGAGAGCATTATCACCACCTTAAGGTTATCCAACTATGGGTTATGCGTTGAAAATATGGGTGGGCCGTGATATAAAGGAGCTCGTCGCCAGGACCATACTGAACTAGTCGTTCTAATTCTAATGGAATAAATGCAAAAGGTGCTCTGGATGCACACCGGTTTGCACAAGAAAAGACAGAAGATGCACACAGTATTTCCTACCCATAGACTTCTAGAGGCAGAACGTATGACTGTACCGCCACCCGTGGTGAAGAGAGTTGTGAGGTATCGAGGGACTCGTTTCTAGGGAAGTCTTCTACTTATTATATACTTTCAAGAAACAGTCGACTTATCTGACATCGCAAAATCCATTGTCTTTGGCTTAAAACGTCCAGTGTCAATCCGTTGCCGATGTAGTGTATTAAAGTCGGATTATCGTGTGAATAGGGAAAAAGGGTGTGAAGGGGTAGGACGGATAGGGAGGGTGCATACTTGGGAAAAAAACTTTAAATCTCGGTGCCGTTGGGGGAAGGGAAGAAGTTTTCGTTCTTACTCTGAAAGAAAAAAATTACCATAAAAAATCTCACTAGGACCTCCATATGGGGCCTATAACTAACTGATTATGTAGCGGGACGTGGGTTCATGTGGGGGTGGTAACATGTGCATATATACATACTTTGCTATCTATATAATATATTATACGACGGAGTCGAGGGAGGCGAGGAAAAGCCTGCCAGCGCCGATACGATGGGCGCTCCACACAGAGCTAGACGAACGAGATGAGTAGAGGCCAAGCGGCAAAACAAGACGGTTTAATCGTCCCGTGAATGTGTGTGTTCCCGTGTGACAGTAACCCAAACACACGCTGAAGCGCCTTCAAAACACCCGTCACATATACGACTCGACGGAAAGGTACCCCGGGTGAAGCCCACGGGGGTAGGTGGTGGGGAGTAGGGGGTTACGGTGTCACACATTCACGGGACGTTAAAAACCCTCTAATTGGGCAAATGACGCGGCGAGATTCGTGGCGTCTAGGGCGACTTGGGCACCTATCATTGGGGTGCAAACTTGAAGTAGAGTACGTTAGTATGTTTAGATGATCGTGCTAATCGACTCTATTTCAAATTTGGGCCCCTATGATAGCCACTAAAGTCGTCTGAATCGCCACGAATTTCGCCGCGCCATTTGCCGCGTCCATCCAGTTCTGGGTGAATGTGCCCATACTCTTGTCAAAGGATTAGCAACAACACCATGTATTATAAAAATCGGTTATATAGTTAGAGTTTGGAACACTTCTTACAAATATGTGAGTCAAATATGCTTAATGAGTCGCCCAAATAAGTTGTTAGAGCTCAACATTTGTTTGCTTAAAGCTTGGAGAGCTAGTGCAAATTAAAATGCGCACTTGCTCGCAATGGCATCATGGCCGCCGTGTCGCAGAGGGTCGTGGTGCCTATTTTTTCGAGCGTGCTTTCTTTCAAAGAAAAGCTTTGTTAACTACAGCTTTGATAAAAGTTCAAGTCAAAGCAAGCTTGTTGACTTTTTCGATACTAGTCCAAGTAAGCGCCTTGCTTCGGCTATCATTTACGATAATCGTACTTATTAAAAACATCCCTTTCACATGGTTGCTGTGGCGCTCTTTTATAGTCAACTTAGAACCACGCACTCGAGTTAAATCGTCTTAGAACACAGATACGCAAGCAAAGCCCAACATCGGTGAAACTACCATAAAAATGTGTCAAGAAAACATACGGCTTGTAAATTTAACACCTTTCACCATTTCCTCGAAGACACGGTTCACGATAAAAAAAAGACACTGAGTTCTTCCTTTAGGAATACACAGCGCCCCCCATGGGTGGTAGAAGGGATCCTCTCGCTCCCACAACCTCGGCGCTCAGGGCACAGTGGAAGAACTGTTGCTGCCGTAATTGGCTTTTACGCCCCTCGATCGATGTCACATTAGACGAGTGTCGAGACAATACAGATCGCAAATTCGTTCTAGGACCCACACACAATCAGCTAATTGCCGAGTGATGAGGCGATGTTTTTCTCCCACTCTTTTTTCCTCCATTATTCTTTTTGTTACCGCGATCCCTTATTTGGTTTCCCATTCCTAAAGGCTGAAAAAGGTGAACTACTTTGCTGTTACTAGGGTTTTTTTGTTTACTTATGCTTATAAGTGAATGAATTTTTGCTTACCATAGTCTGTTATTCGCCAGGACCCGCACGCACGCAGTGAGACACATTGTTATAGCTCGTCCAAACGCCCCACTCTTTTTCATTTTTCTGGTCTCATTCTCGTCCAGCCCCCTTTTTAATGGTTTTTTGAAGCATTTTTCCACTTTAGAAACACCTATTCACGCAGTTTCTTTCATCGCACTATTTTCAATCTTGTCTTCCATTTTTCATCATAATCTGGATTACCAATAGTTATCGTGAACTGTGCCTTCCAGACCGAAAGGATCGTTGAAAGCGGACCGGCGCTCACGCACTTGTAGACCAACCTTTCTCTGCTCTATGCTGTCGGTAAGCTGGGCGAAAAGCTGAATGTTCCACTCCAAGAAAAGGAGGAATTTCTCCGCAACAGGGCACTTAGAAGATCCAATTGTAGTTAATCTGGAAGTCGGAGTGGGTTTAGCGCACATAATAACCAGGAAGCTTGTGGTCGTCTTCTGGTGGTATATGACATTTTAAAAGCAGTTGTGCTCCTTTCCAACATCCGGACGTTTTTTCTTTGGACCCATGAATAATCTTATGATGCAGACCACGACTTTCCCATTCGTAAATAAAAAATAAAACTCGATCTCTCAGCGAAGTGAATAAGATGCCGGAGGGCGCAAGGAGGGAATCAACGGAGCCTCTCGAATGCAATCAGAGTAACTCGTTCGACATCTTCCCGAACACCGTTGCATAAATGGTCATGCTCGATTGTTTGAGGTACTAACTGGCCGACGCTCTCCGTAACTCAAGCGCCTCAATCAGCCAGTTACCCCTAGTCGCTCGATCAAAAGAAGTTCTTGTAGGTTTCGATGGCGGAAGATGGGAGCTGGGTTTTTTATGACAACAACGAGACAGACGCTATTCGGCTTCCAGAAGGTTAAGATCTGCCCATGCACCCGAATCCAGCACAAAAGAAAGGTTTTGCTGTGCTGCTCCCAGGACCTGAAGGGAATATTATTCTACGAATTGTCCCCTCAAGCAGGCAGTCCCGCACGGCCTTCGCGAAGACAACGCAACCCGGGTTACAGGAATTTGGGTAGGGTGGCTGATTACTTTTTCACAGTCCTCACTCTAGGGAAGGGGAACAGCTGACTTGCTTACTCGTTGAGAGGAATGCTATAGACAATGATGGTGGTTGCATAGGTTAATGAGTTGTCAGCTGTATCACCTGTCGTCCCGCCTATCATGATTTCCTCGAGCGAGTATCAGCAACATCTCCGCTCGTACCTGTCCTGAGCCAGAGTAGTCAAGTGGGTTGCCTTCACTCGAAGGACAATGGTCATGAAGTACAACATTCCTTTCGCTAGCAGCTTTCGAGGTACAGCATTCCCTTCGCTCAGAGCTTTAGCGAAGAAGTCTCACCATCGTGCTGGTGGCCCTTCTGGTGTTCGCGTGACGTCCCGAGGCATCCATTCAGTAAACGCTCCTGTTCAACGGCCATCACGATATCGCATTACACGTCCAGCCTACCTGATCTTTGACTTCTTGGCGTTAGCAACGGCATCCCTGCTTTTCCTTTTTTGAGAGGGCCTGAAAATTCCAATTCCCCTCTGCTTTTGCGGGTGATAACGACAAGTTCCAAGCATCGTACCTATAACTGCGCGTTGAATGGCGCTGAATGCATGCTCATTCTGCTCCCGGTGAGTCTTTCTATAAGGCGTGTGAAAGCAGGAAGGACTCCTCTTTGCTGCACCCTCGATGTTCGCAAATTCTATACATGCCTACGCTTCCCTCTGCTCCTCCGGAGCTAGGTCGTTCATGGCCGTTGGTTCACGATCTGGATACGCGCAGCTAGAGCATTCGGAGATATTCGTTCTGCTCAGCGTAGAAGGAGCATCAGACATTAATCCGCACCACATGAATACGGACTTCATCAGGTTTTGTTGTAAGCCTATCCTTCCAGAAGAGTTTTCGGGTTTGACCAGCATTCGTTCATTCGTTGAACTTGCAGGATGTTCGGTGTTGTAATACATGCAGGATTTTGTCCCGAAACCTGAACTACCTACTGCCTCGACATTATCGAGGGCCTCCCTCAAATAGTCGAAATTGATTCATGACTGCCTCCGGTACATTCGCAATACTTCGATGAATCCTAAGGCAAAGTGAATACGATTGCCCGTATAGCCGCCTTTACTCTGCCAATCTTTCAAGAATGAC